TTTTTCGATATAACCCAAGCATACGATAGAGCATGGAGACACTGTATTCTACAAACATTGAAAGATACTGGCATTCAAGGTAACATACTTGCATTTATAAAAAATTTTTTAAAAAATCGCTCGATTCAAGTTAGAATAAATGGTGTTACAAGCTCATCTAAAATACTAGATAATGGAATTCCTCAAGGTTCGATTCTTAGTCCAACTTTATTCTTAATCGCTTTTAATAGTATTGTTGATGTAATTAAAGCGCCCATTAAAGCTAGTCTTTACGCAGATGACATTGTTATTTATACTAAATCGAATAATATAATGACAGCAACTAATATTATACAGAGTTTCCTAAATCGGCTTTGTAATTGGACGATTTAAAACGGGATTTGTTTTTTCTACTGAAAAAAACACGATATATTATTTTTAATAAAAATAAAACCCACCTCACAACTAGTCTTACATTAAATAATTTACCTTTAGAACAGTCAAAAGAAATAAACTTTCTAGGTCTAACTTTTGAGAGAACTTTAAATTGGAATTCACACATAAATAAACTACAGCTTTCCTGCCAAAAAAGATTAAATATACTCAAAATATTATCCAACAGAATTTGGGGTGCTGATCATAAAATATTAATTAGGCTTTACAAATCGCTCATTAGAACTAAAATCGACTATGGTTGTATATGTTACGATGCTGCATGTAAAACCACTCTAAAAAAACTAAACAGTATTCAAACTACAGCTTTGAGATTAGCACTGGGAGCTTTTAAAACTAGTCCAGTTAGTAGCATGCAAGTTCTAACTGGAGAACCTCCCTTACATATAAGACGACAGCAACTATCCTTGAACTACATTGCAAAGATATCATCCCAGAAACAGCATCCTGTATTTTTCCATATCTGCAACCCTGGCCTTCCTCCTAACAATAAGACTAAAAACTCTACACCCCTCATAGAAAGAATAAACCTTACAACTTTTGATAGGAATCATTTCAATGCAACACTACATATAAACGCAAACTATCCCCCATGGACAAGCCACCCATTAACTATTGATGTAACACTTACCAAGTATCCCAAATCTACTACAAATTTCACAGTAATTAAATCTCTATTTATGGAAATTCTAGACCACTATCCTAATTATTTGCAAATCTTTACCGATGCCTCTAAAACTCCCAATGGTCACGCTGCTGCCTACTACTGTAAAGAAAATTCTTATAGCATATCGATACCAACCAACTGCAGTATACTAACAGGTGAAGCTACAGCTATTTTGGAAGCCCTAATCTTCTTCGAAAAGAGTAAAACGATGAAGTGCATTATCGTAACAGACTCATTAAATGCATTACTGAAACTGAAACAAATATATACCAACAACCCTATTATACAGAGTATAAAAAACGTACTAGAAAAATTTTCATCATTAGGAAAGGAAGCGGCTTTTATTTGGGTACCATCACATATAGGTATCTACGGAAATGAAAAAGCAGATCAACTGGCTAACAAAAGTCGAATGAACTCAAACCATATTGCACAATTGAAGACATATCCGTACACCGATCTAAAAAACCTGGTTAAAATCCATTGTATTAATACTTGGCAAAATTATTGGGAAAAATTAGGTACTAAACTAAATGTAATTTGCCCAAAAATAACTGATGTCCTGGAGACTCCTTTAAACAGAAGAAACCAAGTCATTATTAATCGTCTAAGAATTGGCCATACTGCCTTAACACACAAATACTTAATAACAAAAGAACCACTACCTATCTGCTGCAGCTGCTCTAACCCACTGACTGTCAAACATATCTTGCTTGATTGTCCTCAATTCATGGAAAAAAGAAGATCCCATGGATTCACAGATGATGATCTCAAGACAGTTCTCACCAAAAAAATTTCAACAGTGTTAAGTTATTTAAAAGACATCAATTTATTCAATTGTATTTAATGTAATATTTAATTGTACTTAATGTATCATTCAATTGTATTTAATGTAATATTTCATGTATTTGTTACAGCCACTAATAACCCTGCGCGGTTGATGTGGTTTTGTGTTTAAATAAAAAAAAAAAAATAAAAAAAAAAAAAAAACTTTTAAATAAAATAACATCACATTTAATTTTCAACAAATAATTTACATAATACCTACATTCCTAGCTTAGTTGTTAATATCAATTTGTCCTCAAGAACTATCGATCTATTCGTTAAACAGTTACAGTAAAACCCATGATCACCTCTCACTAGTTTACCATAACTGATTTTTTAAATTATTTTTTCTCTAACACTTAATAATAATACTTGTATCGGCATGTAAGTAATATTTATATAATTTCAACTTTGACTTAATAATTTTTTTACTTTTTTTATTTAATTTATTTAAATTATTATTTAATATATTTCACACATATAATATTGACATAATTGTTGTATATTCTGTACCATACAGCACCCTAATATGGGTTATTATATTTTCAGCATTTAGTTTACCATGTACCTAAGATCTGAAGATGCATAGCAAATAATAGTATGCGAAACCGGTCGTTGGTGGTAGAATAAATTGATTGTGAGTAAGTCTTATTCTTAATTCTTTTAACTATGGGTGACATCTTTAACAAACGTCAAATCGACTGTTATATTGCCACATTAAATAATTATAAATTAGATTACAACGGTAATCTAGTCTAATTAGCTTGGTTAATGAGTCTAATTAGCATGTGTGGTATTGCCAATTCAGCCAATATATTGTAGAGTTTGTTCCTTTTGACTGAGTCGTATGCCTGTTTGAAATCTACAAACACGTTGTGAACATCAATGTCATGTTCTAATGATTCTGTTTGACTGTAAATATTTGATGCTGTGTCGATCTTCCCCGTCCGAAGCCCGTCTGATACTCTCCAATAATATTTTCTGCCAGCGGTTGGAGCCTTTGGTTTGTAATACACGTGAGAACTTTCAATGCTGTATATACTAGAGAAATTCTACGGTAGTTTGTGCACTGGAGTTTGTCTCCTTTTTTAAAGATCAAGCATACTACACTTTTCTTCCAGTCGTCGTGTATTTTCTCTTCTTGTCATATGTCTTTGATGAGCTCTTGGATGTGACTTGCTAGGTGGTCGCCACCTAGCTTATACAATTCTGCTGGTATTTCGTCAACTCCAGGGGATTTATTGTTTTTCTGGGCCTTAATACCTTCGAGACTTATAGAATAACTTCCTTTATAGTTCGAGCTTCTAGTCCATTGATATTATGTCACAATTTTTAGATTTTAAATCAGTTTTAACTTGTAACATGTAGATGTCAGTGGTTATTTGCAAATTCTATATCTCATTCTCTATCTTCTAAATCTCACTAGATTCGATAAAACACAAAACCTTTTTTGTTAACTAATTCTTTTGGATAAATTTTTATAATGCAAATTTATCAATATACAATTAAGTTTTTATAGCTTTCTTTTAACTTTTGTCTAAGCTGTTAGATCAATTGTGTGAATATTAATAATCCAGGGAGGTAAAGTATATTAATAGCCCAGATGTATCTATAGCAATATAATGTGTCAACTGCCAAATGTCAAAACTAAATCTTAAGCAGTTTTTATCCATCACAACTTTTCTGCAATGTTTGAATTTTTTTGATTTTTCCGTTTTTATTTGCCAACCAGTATATCCCTATATTTATCTGCGGGTAGTTTTAAAATATTTTATGATTATATTTTAGAAGTACATTATTTGTAATATTTTCTTTGAAAATTCTTAATGGGGTAGTCCATCACTGAATGTTTACACTGTCAAATTGGGAGGAACATGTGTATTGGCCCACTAAAATCGTTTTATTGGCTCGAAAGTTTATACAACGGAAATTTATGATTGGAAACATTTAATAAAACTTTGAATTTTCTGTCAGAAATGAGTGAGTCGTCCTTTTGTGACTGTTGTTTAACATTTTGTGGGCTATATGATTAATTTATGAAGTCGTGAGCGGCCATGTGCTGGTGAAATTATAAACAAAATCAACTTTTAACTACTACCAGGCTTCAGTACTTCGGTAAACTGTTTACGAAAACTTAAAAGTGAAACCCTTTACCGTTTTACGACTTGACTTTTGTAAACAATGCATAATTGTGTTTAGTTTTCCGAAGCTAGTAATAAGTATGTGTAAATAAATTTGTGGAATTGCTACTTAGACGGTCGTCCCATCAAATAAGAAGATATTTTTAGATAGGTTAGGTTGCAGATTGGTTTTTTTTGTTAAGACTGTAGTTTATTATTTTTATTAAATTGATTTTTGGTTTTCTTATAACTATCAAAAGAGAATTTCATTGCAGCCAATGACTATTACTTCTCTACCTGTAGGTGATTGGTAAATTTGTTTAAAGTACATGACTCAATATTTGTTTAGTTTTTTTTATTCAATATGTCTAAGCTAAGATTTTGTCTGTTGACTCAGTCGTATGCAGCTTTATATATAGATACAGATACTCGGCTGATATTCCAAGCAAAATAGCTTTATTGCCTAAATAACGTTAATACATAAGTATCGTTACTCTTGTTGGCACACAAAAAATGCTTCGAAAGTTGTCGAAAAATATGTTTTGTACAAGTACAGTTACTCCATTGCAGTTACAGCGACTTACACAGTTATACTCAAAGATGTGAGTAACAAATAAAAGAATGGAAAAGCTGCAAAATAAATCAAATGGATAAAGTGCGAAATGAACGACAAAATAAATAAAAATATAAAAATTACTCTGGTATCGATATATGCGAAGGATGGACGAGACAAAAATACCATCGAAATGAAAATCAAACAAAAGGAGGAAAAGAGGACATCCTAGAATACAGTGAACGGACAAATAAAAACATCAATGGAAAAAAGGGATCTCACTGAAGAAGATATATTTATATGACAAAAAGAAATGGCGAGTGAGATGAGGTAAACGGCAAAAGAAATATATGCTTTATTAAGTAACGGATACGTAAGTAAGTAAATAATTATTAAGGCTTACCTTTGCTTAAGTTATTTGGAGTTGATCGAGAAGTAGATCTATTCCTTGGTGATGGAGCTGGTTGACTAACCACTTCGGAACTGAAACAATAAGATGTTTCTTTTACTATTATTTTACTTACAGTACATTCCTTTCAAAATTCGATTGACTAATGTCGATTACTGTTTTTGGTAGGTAACTATTGGTATTTGATAGGTTCTTTACAATATTAGAAAAATCTGAAGCGATTCTTCTTTTCCTTAGTTGTATGAGTTTTAAAACCATTGCGCATGCGTCGATAGATAGTGTTAATAATATAAATATTATATATACATATAACTAAAAATACACTTTGTCATTTTTATAAAATGCCAACCAGTGACGTTGCATGCTAGCTCCCTTTCACTTTATCTTTGATACCTTGCGTTTTAACAGCTAGCAGTCCTAATTTACGACCATTTTTTTCCTCAGGCAACCTTATATCATCATATTAACAAAAAAAATTGTTTTAATTTGACACAAAAATCATGTATATACGTCATAAAATAAATAAACGTAATTTGATCGCATAAAGTATCTATCTCATCTGATTAAGAGATCCATTGGCTTCATACTTGTTTTTCAGGGCAGGTACAATATCATTATTTTTAAGTAGCATTTCATAATAATTGCTTGTTAAATTTTCTTATATATAAAAATTTTAATTCAAAAATGTAAGTCAAAGACAGCTGTTGTCGTTACTGTATGTGGTAACCATGTTTTTATAAAAAACTTTTTAAATGTGAATTATACGTATGTATAAGGGTTAGACCCAAGATCTGTGGCCTACAGAGCCCGATCTTTGAATTTTAATATGTCGTTTGTGCACAATTGTCCTTCTATGAAGTATTTATTGCCTAATTGACGATAGCTCTGATGATGACATTTATTATGTCGAAAGTATACTCAGCTTAATTATTAAATGATTTTACACACTAAAAATTTTATTGAAAACATACAAAACCAGCTTACCAGTTAGACCTATTTAGAAGTGTGTACAAGTCTTACAGTCTTTTTCAATTTTCAATTATATATAAAAAACGGCCCAATTAACTGGGTATTCATTATAGCCGACCGTGCATTTAATTTTTGTGGTCATTAAGTATGGTTTACACGTATCCAGTGTGGATTTACCTCACTTCTATACCTTAAATATTGGCGATTTACATTCTCCACAGAGTGTAAATAGTACTTCATCGGAAAAACACATATTGTTAACGAAGATCTCGCCAGTTAAAATTGTATTTATCATTATCTTACTAAACTATAATCTACGGTCGTAACCATTTTCATTTATTTTTTGCAACAACTGGATTTTGTAGGCTTAAATGAATTCTTATGTAATATGCGCAAGACTGGAAGAATGACCTACATTATCTATTTGTGTAGCTCTACGTGGAGGTGTATGTCGATCTTCAACGAAACTCTGCATTAATCCTTTGTCGCTCGAAACAAATTTTTTCCTACGGCCCAAATAGTTGTACGCTGGGACCACCAGACGGAAAGCGATGTAAAGGTACCGCCCCGTCATGTATTTCATCTACCACGCAATTACAAAATTCTATAACCAATTATGTATAGTGTACATCACACCTTTGGTGAGCTCACAAGTGAGTGAAAGTAAGGATATTTATTGTCGTAAATAAACAAATATTCTTCTACTGATAAAAGGTACCTATTACGTGAATTTGTTGATAAATAGATGTATTTATGTATTACCGTATAGGTTTTTTACAAACTGCGTAGATAACTAAGTGAATTTTGATATTTTGATTGGTGGTTCCAATAGCTGCCATTACGCCGATCGGCAACTAATAGGTATGTTTTGTTACTTACAGAGTTCCAACGTCTTGGTTTGAGTAAAATAACAAGTACCGACGCTTATGATTTACTAACCGTCGGAGAAATCTGACGTATCTGATTATAATGAGAAGATCTTGACATGACTTTGGAGTCAGGTGTTTTAGATGAACAAAACAATACTTCAGACAATGAAGACGGTGTGCATGACAGTGACTATGATGATGAAGACGAAGTATCAATTATTATTGTTGATGAGTTAAAATGGATCACCGACCCAAATAATGCCCCTCAACTCCATCTTTTCTTAGAACACGTTAGATCAAATATTCCTGATAGTTTAGAGAACATGTTGATGTTTTACACTTGACTTCCAAATGAATTTATACGTAGTCTAAAAAAAATAACAAAAACACTTCCACAACAATTAAAGAAGTAAAGTGTTTTTTGGAAATAAACCTTTTGATAGGAGTGAAAAAGTTGCCCGGTTATAGAGATTTCTGATCTGCCAATTTTGCTCTTAGGAATCAGTTTATTTCTTCATGTCTTTCGCGTGACAGATTTGGACTCATCTTCACGTAAATGACAATTCATTAGAATCTAAGAACGGTTATGGCGATTATGATATAGTCTACAAAGTGGAGACGTTGGTAAAGGAACTTTACAAGAGTTCATTTTATTCCAGCAGGTAACAATCAATAGATGAATATATGATAAGGTTTAGGGGACGAAGTAGTTTACGCCAATATTAATAAAAGATCTTACAAGAAATTTAGTTGGAACAAATTATGAAGTTTAGTTTGATAGCGGTTTTGTTTCTGTTGTATTACAAGGCCACTTGCTAAAAGACAAGTTCTACGCATGTCGAACAGCTGTAAACAGCTCCAAAAGATAGAAAAGGTTTTCCAAATGAACTTAACACAAATAAAAAATTAAAAGATGATACTCAAACTGAAAAATAAGTGAAGATGGGTGCTAGCTTTGCAATGGATGGATAAAAGACCCATTCATTTTCTAGCAATTGTCACAAACCTAAGAAAATGTCACTGTGAAGAGGAAACAAAAGGATGGGATATCAGACAATGAAAATTAACTGCAAACAATTGCCTAGTAAAAGCTTACAACAGATATATGGGCTTTGTATAGAAGTCCGATCTTGGTACAAATTGGATAAAAATCCAGCACAGTGGAGGCATAGAATATTTTTCCATTTTGTTGACCTAACATTATTAAATGTTGACCTTACTTAACTTAATTTGACATAACATTACTTAATTCAATTTTCAAACACTCAAAAACTAGTACTAGAGTAACAGTTTTTGGTCTACCCATTCAGATGCCATTTTTACTCGTACAGTTTGCTCAAAGCGCCCTATAATTATTTGTATGTTGCTTTATGGATAATAGAATGGTTCGGGAAAGTATCGTTGATCAAGTTGGGTACTATACTATAAGATCTTTTTCTATCGCCGTAGCCCCTCTTTCATCGCTCATTTTCATTAGAAACCATTTTTATTGTTGAGCTTTTAAAAACACATTAGCCAGCTTTAATTATTAATACAATTTATTATACAAAACTTTTTAATAAACGTCAAGCTATTGTTAGTTTTATGAATTAATGTCAAAATCAAAGCAATTTATATTTATTGAATTACGTCAAAAGTATTTGATACCGAAAAGTTTTATTTAAGACCTTCGTGAGTAGAGTGTTGTATCGTGCCGTGAGTATGGGTACCGAGTGTTATATATGGTTGAACTCATATTTATGTGAGAAATCCAATAATAACACAATATACAGAGTGTTTTATTTAAAAAACCAAAGTTACTAAGAATATCAGAAAAATGGTAAATCGGGCAACATTGCAAGCATCAAATTTGAAATTACCATATTGCAAAATAGGTATTCAATTCGAACTACTCAATTAAAAGGTAATTAAGCGTTTCCAGACTTTTGGTTCATTCTGTATAATAATTGATATAATACATAGACCTCATATTAAACGAGGATATTTTAAGAGAATATTTTGAAATGCAGGAAGAACGTTTAGCGTAAAAAGCTTATAATTCTTCCAAAGCTTTGAACTCTTGCGCCCAATTTATCTGACATTTCTCTTGCGTAAATTCGTGAATTAATTCGTTCCGCAGTAAATAATCCACAAAAGACAGTTATTCACATTTAATTCCAACCAGAAGACTGTAGAAAAGAATGCAAAGTATAATAATTCGGAAAGTTAGTGAGCCCAAACTAATAAAGTCACCCATAAATACGTTAGGATCGCGGTGTTTCTAATAATTTGAGGTAATTTGCTCGTAAACACTATAAAACAGTTCATCTGGGTAAATTATATGACAGCCTGAGCCCACTGAGACATCTTAAATCCATTCAAAATCCTGCTTAAGACATTTTACACGACTTGGCTTTGAATTGTGGAAAACAAACGTACGTTATTTTTAGACAAATTAGACGCTGTGAATATTTATGGTCGCATCACATCATTGTACTGGAATTATTTATTGGACTTATTGTTACAATTTATCCGAAATTTATATTGATCAAGATTAATGGATGTTATTTTTCTGTAGATTTGTGCCTAATGTATTATAAAAAAGACATAAATAATATGTGAAATAGAAATAATTCCTATAATTGTGCTTTTCATAAAAAAATACTTAAACTACATTACGTTTCTGAACTACAAAAACTCCGATTTCGTTGTTTGCTTTTTTTCTAGAAGTTGCAAAACCATTTTTATGAACTTTTATTTATTTTCAGAAATTTCTACTAACATATGAAATAAACTCACGTTTTTGTATTATTATTGTTAATTTTTTTTTACTTTAACTACTTAGGGTTATCAGCATAAGAAAATACAAAAAGTGATAAAAACATACATAGGAATATACAAAATATCAATTACATAATAAGGTATACAATATATATTTTAATTATTGATTTAATGTATTAAATTTTATTAAAAAAGTAGATTTTAAGAATTCTATCAAGTCAGCTAAGTATTTAGATTCTCTTAGAAGTTCTTTTAATGTTTTTGGAATGAGGTGATAGTCTTTCAACTGAGTATATTGGACAGTCAATCAAAATGTGCTCCACTGTCACTTTACATTCACAAACAAAACACACTGGTTCTTTTTCTCTCTTCAACAAGTATTCATATGTTGTAGAAGTGTGTCCTAATCTGAGACGTGTTACTAGGACTTGATGTTGTCGCTTTGAAGGCCAGAAGTTCCATGGAAGGACGGAAGA